TTTGTACATTGTTTGTAAAACAAAGTTTTCATATCAGCAAACATAAACCGATACGTCTGTGAAAGACTCACCTCAACTCATGATAAAAACAGTCAGGCTGCAGTGAAACAATGGAACCAACCTAACGTTCGAATCAGGTGTGATGAGTTATTTAAAATGTGCACGTTAATCATAAAAATATTGTGCTGAATAAAATGTTTTGTCAGGAGCTTGGGATGAAAAAACAGTTTGAAATAACTAAAGTGACATTTGCCAAGTTCACATACATTTTCTATTTAGAGCAGATAATGAAGTTATGACAGGAAGTCATTTTTGGAGTATTCCGACATAAAAGTAAATATTCTCATGACCACATCTGGACCGTGTGTCCGTTCTCTGACCTGCTCCCTCTGCTGTCGCTCCTCGTCCAGGCGCCTCCTCAGCTCAGTCAGCTCATGGTCAATCAGGCGGCTGAGCCATAGCTGCAGGTCGTCTTCGCTGCTCTGAGCAGAGACCCGCTGCTGGAGGTCGGCGTACAGCCCGAGAACCTCCCTGTGTCTCTGCTCTGCCTGCTGCCCTCCGGCCTCCACGCGCTCCCATAGCACCGTCAGACTCTGCTCCAGACCGATGAGCCGGTCCGACTCTTCCTGTCAAACAATGAAAACTTTATTTAAAGGAGACAGACCTGAAAGGGGGACATAATCAAAGACATAAAACTTTCTCTCTCTACCAGCTGAACGTGACATCACTACCTCCTCGGCTGGTGGAGGTCGAGCATAGAGCGGCTCCTCGTACAGCTGTACCTCCCCTGACTCCTCCGCAGCGCCCTCTGCTGATTGACTTTGTGCGGACATGAAGCTATACATAGAGGACAGAGCGGGGACGTCCGAGACCACTGTCGTCCAATCTGTGATGTTTAAAGCTGCGAGGATGGATTGTAGGCTGGCGAGGCCAAACCAACACGGGCCTGTAGGGGGAGACAAAGAAAAGTTCAGAGTCTGAAAACATGAAATTTACGATGAGGATGCGAAACTCACCGACGAGGAAGAGCAGCAGAGGAACAAGGAGCAGGAAAAATCTGTGCGGGAACCTGCAGGAAACAACATCTGGTTAGTTAACGATCAGTGACGACTGCTGTCCTGACGCTTCTTGATGCGCGGTTTAATACATTTCACAAATCGAACAGTTTAACACTCAACTCATACACATACCAATGTTATTTTTCTGCACATGCATCATATTTAATTTGATTACAATAATTCTTAGATATATCATTTATATTTTATAATGATTTGACTCTGAAATGACATTAGACATCTGTTGAACCCCGACTTCGCTCCTGAACGTTTGATTGCATTGATCAGAGGTGCTGGGTGTTCAGCACCGGACCTTCAGTGGTCAAACTGCACACTCTAGTGTCACAACCCAGAAGTGAGGGAGCTGTAACTCTATTTAAAGCAAACTTCACATGAAGCTTCAAAACTCATAAATAAAACTGGTCATACTGAAATCTATAGGCAAATGAACTACACCCTGTTTGACATAGAGCTAAAGATTTTTTCTTCTTTCTTTTTTAATCACAAATATTTTGCTCACACTCAGAGAATTTTTTTCCAACTCCTTTCATCCGTCCACATAAATTTCATCTTGTTTATAATAAAGCAGCCAGACGTCACATTATATCCACCAGCAGAGACTTCATGTTGATTTTAACATCTGGTAAATTTTAGATTTGAAATTTAAAGGTCCAGCCCTGATTCAGGTGAAAGGATCTATTGGCAGATATTTAATGTAGAATAATCCTCATGATGTGTTCAGCTGCAACATGACACTTCAACACTAGATGTCACTAAATTCTACACACTGTACCTTTAAAATATATTTTTTTTACTTTTAAGGCTCATTATAAACCTTCAGCTCAGTATATTCCAGATTGTTGATACCAGGTGTCCCGTCGTGACCTAATTGTTGTCGATGACATAACCATGGTGACAGGACAGTAAAAAAAAAAACTTGCCGAGTCAGCAGGACTGCGCGGTCAGGAGCAGTCATGTGATGCCATCGTCTGCTGAGCCACCGGAGGATGTCACCTACACACACACACCAAGAGAGAGAGTATCGGTGGAGATTTCAGCAGCAGGTAGAACACGGCGATGGAAGGTTGTCAGGTGACTGAAGCTGCTGAGATCAACTGAGATGCAGAGAGCAGGTGAAGATACCGGGCCATTAACACAAATCTGCTGCAGAAGCCAAGACCGACCAAACATTTACGAGAAGCAGAGACACAAAGACAGACGTCAAAATCAAGACACCAACGTGCTGCAGGTCCGAGAAGAAGAATTATAATCATAAAATAAACGTTAACCTGCAGAGCATCCGGCGCTCCTTGAAGCTAAACATATTTCCTTTGTCAGCTGACACACAAACCAAACTGTAGAAGAAGAAAAAAATGAGCCTGTGGTCATTTGAGGTCACTGTGACCTCTGAAATCGAACCAGTTCATCTTCGAGTCCAAGTGGAGGTTTGTGCCAAATTTGATGAAATTCCCTCCAGGTGTTCTTGAGATATCATGTTCACAAGAATAGTAGACAACATGAAAACATAACAACTCTTGGCCACTGGGTGTTGCTGCTGCACAAGAACCAGAAGATTTCTGTGGGACTGGACGTTTGAGATTCAGAGATGATGGTTCCTACTGAGGCAGAAGGTTTGAGAGGTTGTTCCTTTGTTTCTGAATGACGTCAAGTTCTGGGTCATTTACCAAGAATTGAAAGAACCTCTGCGCATTTGATTTGACTCACAAACACGTGTTACGACAAACAAGACGAAAATCCAAAGGAAGAAATAATGTAAAGTTGTGTAACTCAGAACCTGTGAAAACAGCAGTGCTCCACATCAGCCCCAACACACAGGCAGCCAGTGACGACCTCGAGGAAGAGGTGACGGCGTCCGTCTCCAAGAGCTGCTTCTTCTTACAGTCGTCACCTGTAGGTGTCGGCAGTGAGCTCAGAGTGTGTTTGACTGACAGACACATGACAAAAGAGGAAGAGTCAGAGACCTCTTCAGATGGAAATAATATCATCCACATTAAGGTACAGTGTGTAGAATTTAGTGACATCTAGTGGTGAAGTGTGATGTTGCAGCTGAACACCCCTCCCCCTCCCCCTCCCTTTCTAAACATGAAGAAGAACCTGTGGCAGCTTCAGTCGTCATAAAAACTCAAAAGGTTTTAGTTTGTTCAGTCTGGACTAATATAAAAAACATGGCAGCCTCCGTAGAGAGGGTCCCCTCCATGTAAATATAAAGTATTTGAATATAAAGTA